TCGGCGGCCATTACTCCTTTCAGGACAGTTAGTCCTTCTGTACACTGCAATTTTTTACCGGATGCATCCCTTTGCTACTGTCATTTGCTTTCAATAAATGCTGTTTATCAAACAATACATCACTATGGGCACCTTTTTTTCTTGACCCCTTGCGGGGAGCATCTCTTTTTTTAGACACCATAACCCGCTCTACCCAGTGAAGGAGTCTTACCCTTTGATGGAGTTATGCCTGGTTTTACCCTCAAAGGGAGCCTTTTAACTATCTATGTGCCATCTGTGGACCCATTCTGTCCCAGGGAATCTACCTATCTTTACCACCCAGATGACCACTTGCTGAACTGTAGGATATCTACACTGCACATTTAATGTGCACATCTGGTTAGTGTGCACTTTCTCACTTTATTTCATCTCCATTGGGACTATTAATATATGTTTTATTTTAACACTTTAATTCCAGCTTGTGGCATGCACTTATCTGAGGGTAGAATGTGGTGATAGAGAATCATGGAAGCAGATGGAAGCACAGTATAAGTAGTCAGGGCCGTAGTAAACCTTATTTCTTTAAAACAGATTTCTATATTTTCTTTTACCAACGCTATGTTGTTCCTAGCATTGGGTTGCTGTGCTAAGATGTATTTATAAATTACAATGCTCTTCTCCTTTAAACTACATTATAAATCACATTGTTCTTGTACAATACCTTTATCATTGCAGCTTGAACTTCCAAAAGCTTTTTGTTATATTTATACTTTAAAGGGAGAATTGCTAAACATTCACAGACCTTCTTGTACTTCAAACGCCCTTTCAGAGTTTGCTTTTTTTTTTTTCTTCTTTCTTCAAAGTGACCTTTGCTATTTCTTGCACTATTCACATACCTGTGCAATGGGGCTCTTGTTTGCTCTATATTGCGCCTTCTCTCATGTCAGCTAGCTCTTTAACAATCCATAGTAGTCAGTTGTGAAACCTCTGTGTACAAATCTTTATCTTCAAAAGAATGATGTCATTGCCTGAATACAGTGACATTTACCCCTCCTTTCCCAATTAGCTGGAAGGATATTTTCTATTGCCTGAGAGCACAGCCAATTAAAAAAAAAAAATCCATTTGGAAAAGGAATGGCAATGTCATTAAATCTCAAGGTAAAGTTGGCTTACATAGTTTTCACAGCTGCATTCTAGGTATTGCTAGAGGGTTGTGACATGAGGAAGAGTTTACAAAAGACTCTATGCACAGGTATTGTTAAATGGGATATCATGAGGTACAGCAAGGGTTATTTTATTTAACTGTTTTGAAAGAAAAAAAGGTTTATTGGTCTGATAAAACTACACTATAGTTGCTAATAGAAAGATAAAGGTGAGTCAGCTGATGGTAGACTAGCAGATTGAACTGTGTTTAGTCATATTTTAGCTGGATTTAAATGTGTGTGCACCATTTACTCCAGCATTTGTGGGTCAGGCTGATTTGTTTGTATTGGTTACTAGTATTAATATGTATTCCATTCCTTTGTGGTTCACAAAAACAGGCATACATATTATTAAGCTGATCAGCAAATTGATATTAGCTTGTGGACTAATAGATCTGAAGATTGCCAAATCAAGATGCCTATCTCTAAAGAGATATTTTGAATAGTTTTTTTTTTGTTTTTTTTTTAAAGACATCTGCCCATCTTTATTAAGTCATTAAGTATTCAGAGCTGCTGCTTTCACTTGTCTTACTTGCCTTGACCATTGGTAACATCAAAACTCTTGAATATTTTTGCAACCTACTTCTACACGTCTATACTTTCTAAGTGCTCATTCTCTGAGAAACTCCAGCACTACCCAGGTATTACTAGTATTGCATGGATCCCTTGCTAGTGAGAGTCAAGTGGATGACCTGCTTACCTCATCTCCTAATGTGCCTCTAACTGCTTAGATTTGCAAGTTTGTACACAATTCAACATTGATTTCTTTCAAATTAACCAGCCTTTTAATTTGTAATGTAAGTTGAAACTTTCTACATTTATGTAATAATAAATGCTAATAAAATGCTATGCTTTGAATAGAAAAGTTGTTTTCATTTAGCCTTTAACAAAAAAGACAATTGAGCTAACTCTTATCTTTTTATTTATCAGTTCAAATAAGTTTTTTATTTATTTTTTAAGTGCCATTATACAATGGAAACTCACATTATATTTAACAAATATTACTCTATATGTAGATTAGGATAATACAGAAAACATGGTAATATATTCTGGCATTAGGTTTTATTGAAGATTGAAAACTTTTTTTTTTCTTAGCAGGTTAGACTAGAAATGGTTGAGAAAAAAGTCAGATATTATTTAGTGTGATCCTTTGGTTGTTTTTAGTTGGGTTGACCAGAAGCTGGCCTTGGGTACCATCAAGGGTCAAGTGTTGGCTTTAGTGGGGCTTTTTTTTTAATGTCCACTGGCTTCTCCTTCCCTAGTTCACACCTTTGCCTAAAGTGTGTTTATGCATGTGTTTCCTCCAGTCTAGCCTCCAAGGTCACCAATCTGAACTTTGTGCTTTCTGTTTTGCAAAAACTAACTGCCGTTGCTGACTCTTTCCAGAAAGTAGCCATTTGGTGGCCATCACCTTGGATCAGAGGGCTTTGGCGACTGTCCTTGATATATTATATTCCATTTATTGAAAAAATTAACTTGTCCCTCCCTCCTACATTGCTGCACTGGGCCCCAATCAAACTACTTCTCTTCTTCTTTCTGTGACCTGGAAGGTGACGTGTGTGATGTCGCTTCCGGGTCACTGCTGTCACTTTCTTGGCTAGCACAGCCAAGAAGCAATGCATTGCAATGCAGTCTGCATTGCAATACATTGAGTGGAGCCCAGAGGAGATATGAAGGATCTTTTAGAACCTGCATGTCTCAATAAAGAGAACCTGTCACCTAAAACTTATCACATATGGGACTTTGCAAAAAAATAACGTTAAACCCAAGCACATAACATCCGCCCAAAAAATTTTGAGCTCACCCCTACCCCTCCATATTCACATGTACGAACATAAACACACACGTCAAGGCGTCTACACGTGAAACCATCGATTGCGATACTTGTTGCCAATCACCGCACATGCTGGAGTGACAACAATAATTCTAGCACAAAACCTCCTCTATAAAGACTAAAATGATGAGCTTATAGGGGCTTTTGGAGCGTCACTTATAGAAATTAATAGGGTACTGAAGTTTGTCGAAATTTCATAGGCGCACACAAATTAAAGGTTTGGCATGTTGGGTATTGGTTTACTCGGCACAACCTCATCACTTATATTTTACGAAAAATTGGGTAATTTTATTATAAGAGACAAAGTGAGCGCTACAGGCAAGCTGCTGTAACACCGAGAAAGGTACCAAAAACCTTCCAAGATCAGTAGTGTAAAAAGTAGGTGCAGCGCTGAGATCAAAATAATCAAAAGCAATAAAGTGCAATAAATCTAACAGACTGCAGAGTTGATTATAAACTAGCAGTCATCAAAAATTATATCACTGTTCAACTGTTATTTATAAAGTGAAAATAGTGCTAATCAAGTGACCATAAAAAATGGCATTAGAAAGTCCATAAAGTTACAAAGTGTTAAAACAAAAAGTTTTTCAGGATCGGGGAGTAGGAAATATTACAAGCTCAGTTTTTTTAAAAGATTGAGTTTAAGGTAGTGATGTGACATCCATGCTGATATGCTGCTTAATAGATTTGTGATACGTGAGGAGATTGAGGGGGTGAGCTGGGGAGTGGAGATCTGGGTGTCATCAGCATAGAGGTGTTATTGGAAGCCATGGGAGGTTATCAATTGGTCCAGGGAGGAGGTATACAGAGAGAAAAGGAGGGGCCCGAGAACAAAACCTTGGAGTACCCCACCAGAAAGAGGGAGCGGAGGAGGAGGAGTTGTATGTAACACTGAAAGTGCGCTGAGAAAGGTAAGAGGAGAACCAGGAGAGAGCAGAGTCACGGAGTCCAATGAAGTGGAGTTTACTGAGGAGGAGCGGGTGGTCGACTGTGTCAAAGGCAGCGGAAAGGTCAAGGAGTATGAGTATGGAGTAATGGCCGTTGGTTTTAGCAGCAGGTCATTAGTGAGATTTAGTAGGGCAGTTTCTGTGGAATGTTGTGGGCAGAAGCCAGACTGTTGGGGATCAAGAAGGTTGTTGTCGGTGAGGTAGCAGTTCATATGGTTGTGAACAAGGCGCTCGAGAAGCTTGGAGGCAAACGGGAGCAGGGAGATGGGTCCTAGGTTATTCAAACAGGTGGAGTCCAACGAGGGTTTTTTGAGGATGGGGGTAACCAGTGCATTTTATTGCTTTTGTATGCCTTAAAATTCACTTTAGCGTGTTTTTTACTGAATTTTTGCATTTCCTAGACCTTTGTAGTACTATCATGTGACAATGGAAAAATTGGAACTACCACTATTTTATTGTCTAGGGTGTCTGCTTTCACAAAATATATATAATATTTTGGGGGTTTTGTGTAATCTTCAAGCCTAAATGATTTTTTAAACGTGCAAATACTGCTCTGGCAGCAAGAGGGTTAAGTCTGTAAGGCATGCTTGTATGTGTTCTTTGAAGAACTTTTGTGTTTTCAATGTTGCATTTTAACCACTTGCCTACAGGGCACTTATACCCCCTTCCTGCCCAGGCCAATTTCCAGCTCTCAGTGCTGTCACACTTTGAATGGCAATTGCACAGTCATGCAACACTGTGTCACAAAAAAATTATAAAAAATTTCATATGTGTAGAGCTTTATTTTGGTGGTATTTAATCACCCCTGGGTTTTTTATTTTTTCTTAAACAAACCAAAAACCACTGAAAATTTTTGAAAAAAAAAAAAAATTTTTTTTCTTAGTTTTTGTTATAAAATTTTGTAAATAAGTGATTTTTCTCCTTCACTGATGTGCGCTAATGAGGCTGTAGTGATGGCCACTGATAAGATGCGCTGATGGACACTGATAGGTGGCACTGATGGGGAGGCACTGGTAGGTGGCACTGACGGGCATTGACAGGCATCACTGATGGGCACTGAAAGGCAGCACTGATAGGCGGAACTGGCTGGCACTGATAGGCGTCACTGATTGGCAGCACTGATAGGTGGCACTGACTGGCACTGATGGGTGACACTGAAAGGCAGCACAGATGGGCACTCATATGTGGCATTGATGTGCACTGGTAGGCACTGATATGTGGTATTGATGTTGCACTGATGGGCACTGGCAGGTGGCACTGTTAAGCACTGACAGCTGGCGCTGATGGACATTGACAGGTGGCACTTCTGGGGCTACACTGATCATCAGGGTACACTAATCATCAGTGCCCTGATGATCAGTGTACATGTCCCCTCCGCGGAATGCCAATTACCAGCTCTTCTCTCCTCTCGAGCTGTCAGCGTGACAGCTCGAGAGGAGAGAAATGCCGATAACCGGCATTTCCCTGTTTACATGTGATCAGCTGTGATTGGACACAGCTGATCACATGACCGAGCCGACATCTTCAGCTCTTTCCATGGATCGGTGATCCGCTGTGTCTGAGGGACACAGCGCACCTCCGATCGCCGCACTGCACGCTCCCTGAGCTGCGCATGTGCTGTGAGAATGGAAGGATGTCATATGACGTCCTATCAGAACGAGAGAACCACCTTGCACCCGTCATTGTACTATATGACGGGCGGAAGGTGGTTAAGCCACCTAAAAAAGACCCACTGCACATTGAATGATACCTTTTAAAAAGTTTTTTTTCATTGGTACATGTCCCGCAGGTTACTGTCCAACCTTGACTTTTGTTTGCCAATCCTTTGCCTATTAACATGGAAAATGGCCATTATTGAGTTCTAATTTTCAGTTCCCAGTGGGGTTTAGATTTAGGATAAGAACTTCATGGTCATGTTCACCAACGTTGAACCGAACCCTGGTACATTTGTCTCATCAGTATATGATAGCTAAGCAGTGCTAAACCAATGGTGTAATGGCAATTTCTCTTTTGCTCTGCATAGGCTGAGCCAGCATGATATAGTGTAGAGAGTAGGCAAATAGTTTTTCATTGTGTCATACCAGGACTGCAAATAAGCTTCTTTCGTGTAACTAGAAAAGCAGGTAAACTTGTCAGCTAATAGTGTTTAGGAATTTCATCATTTTTTAAAAAAAAAGTCTCTTAAATGTATGGCTAGAGTTCTTTGGTTTTGGGTCAGTTTTATATCATATTTTGTACATTTATGTAAAGTTTTATTTGTTCCAGCAAATCTAGAAAGAAACCTAAGGATCCTTATCTTGGCTTGAAAAGAAAATACTGGCGCCACTCGTTCCTATCCCTCCGTTGTACCTCTACATACCTTTACCGCAAAACGCCCTTTGAGAACGTTTGTCAGCATTCCCCGTGGTCCCCTGGTCTCATTTCTGTAATTTATGCCTCCCTTATAAGTAGGTCCTCCTCACCACCCCTGTCTTATGTCTCTCAACGGGAGCGAGATCTGGGTGTCTCGATTGCTGCGGAGGATTGGCGTAGAGCCTGGGGGATGGTGGCAAAATGTTCATTCAGTACAGTCACTCTTGAGGCAGCCTACAAAGTTCTCCTGCGGATGTCTAGCATTCTTCATGATTCTCATCCGAGATTCCTTAAGGTTTGGGAACCTTGGATACGTTATTCCTTGCCATCCCTGCCTCCTACTAGTTATAGCCTCTTATAGTCGCTGCCTGTGTTAGCCCTGGATCCGTGATTCTTCTAGTTTCCCTTTCCTCCATGTTTTCTTTCTGATTCTCTTTTTTTTTTTTTTTTTTTTTTTTTTTCTTTTTTTCCTTTCTTCTAACCTTTTTTCTTTCCTCTTCTTTTTCTGGTAATATGTTGAATTACTGGTGCTAATATTTTGTTTGGCTTTTTGCCGTCCCTTCGTTATTTGACTAATACAAGTCAGCTGGATGTATCTGTTTGTGTTACTGTTCTGCTCTGCCCCTGCATGGGCGTATCTTGAGCTTGTTGTATTCTTAAAACAAAACTTTCTTAATAAAAATATTGAAACAGAAAAGAAAATACTGGATATATTTATACACAATATTTAAAATTTACCTGACTGGGAAAGAGAAAATATCTTTTAAAAATGTATTTCTTATTGTAAAATGATGTGTGCAACCACTATATATTCTAGTTTTAATTCTTTATATAGTTAAGACAGAATAACAAAGGCTTGATGGGGCCGGGGCTCTTCAGAAGGTATAACACATGAGGTGACTTAAAAAAGGAGTTTTTTCCTATAGTTTTCTGAAACCTACTGTATATACATTTATAAAATGTAAATGTTAATACCATTTATTTTAAATAACACTAAACTATCCATAAAATATCTCTTTTGTTACCATACTGCTTCTGTGAATATTGAAAGCTTTTTTTTCTATGTTCTTTTTATGTTACAAACTCTTTCATCAGACTTCAATATAAAATGTTTCCTATGTGTAAAAATATTCACAAGATTTATGGCTAATCCCGATCGCCCTAGATATTCTCCTGCATATGTTTGTGTGTTCCGTGTTCCCAGAAGGATAGATTTCCTCCAGAGAATATTATTTATTCTACAACTCATGCTGGAATGTGTTGCATGAACACTTATTTTGTGTTAGCATTATATTTTAAATGATACTGTGTTCTATAAATGATACACTTGAAAACATGCATGCTAGATGTGCATGGTGTTAAAACTATTTAAACCAAAATCTATTTTATCACTGTAAGCACAGCAACACACAATACTTAAATGTAACTAGCATTGGTAAACATTTTGCAAACTTGTGGGACAAAAACAAGGCAACTGTAGCCTACACATATATGCAGAGCAGTAGAAAATCAGAAATAACTGAGTACTATCCATGATAGGGTACAATCATAAGCTTGCCCTGAAAAATTCTATGTTAGTGCAGTTAAATAAAGTATCACGGACAGTTCTCAATTTTTTTTTGTTTTTGCAAGTGCACTAACATGGCTACAATCACTCATCAATCAAAGAATCAGAAGGGCTTTTACAGTCCACCATCAGGTGTATGTAAAGCCTAACATTTAACTTCTCTTAGTTGTTGCCTTTTGGTCTAAATTTACAATTAAAAGTGTTTTGTTACATCTGCTCAATAAGTGCAACCACATTCCTTCCAGAATTTTTTTGAGGTGATAATTTCCCACGATCTCTGATGGATGTCATAATTTTTCTCTTTGAACCGCATAACATTTCAACCCTGTTTTATGGGTGACAGGAGAGGGGGTCGTGTAATGTAGTCCTAAAAGTCTTCGTTTTCTAGTCTGAAGGAGGAAAGCCAAAGTGGATAGTGTCACAGGAAAACCTATGTAGCATACTGCGCTCACCCCCAGGACAATGTCACCTGTAGATTAAATAGCTATGATGAGCCCAGTAAAACCCTGTACACACGATGAGTATATTGGACAAATGATTGTCCATTTTTGTTTTTTGCATGCTAGTCTCATATCAAAAGTGAAGAGGTTACTAAAGTTATGAAAAATCTTTTCCGACAGAAAATTCAGAAGTGATGTAATGTATTTGTATTGGTTTTTTGAACGAAAACTTTACTGATTAAATGAAAATTGTACAATCTGGTATCATACGAGAAAAATTTTCACGCTTGTGCCTTAAAATAATTTCGGATGAAAGCTGTGTACAAACAATAAGATTATTGTACGATCGCTTCAAAAGTGGTATTTTTCATCTGATTTTCTGATCGTGTATACTAGTCTTAAGGCTCTCCTTCTGATTGTTAGAACCCAATTAAGATTGTGTGAGTGTGATGAAAAAAACAATGAAGTCTTAAAAATGAGGCTGAAAATAAATCAATCTAAGAGTACAATATGAATGATTTAAAAACATGCAGACCATGAAAAGACAATATGGATATAATATCTACAACCGGGGAGCCCAGATTTAAAAAAAAAAAAAAATCTCAGAAAGCTGCTGTAACTAAGAGGGTGCTGCTGCTGCGCTGCGCTGTGTGGGGCTGACACTGCAAAACTGTGTAAAACAAGAAAGAAGAGAGGAGCGCATGCCCCTTAGTGTAGCATGCATAAAACAGTTTAATGGACAAAATAAAATCAATGGTTGCATTCATAAACTACTGTTGCGTATAGAGGCTGGTCAGGTGGCTTGGAAGATAAGTCCAGAGTCAGCGTATGAGTTATCCCAGATCCTCACCTTGACCACTGGCTGGGGAAAGCATGGGCTGAAGTTGAAATGACACTGCTGGCAGAGATGGATGGAGCTGCTGTAAGGTCTAGAGTCCAAGAGCCAAAAGCTTCCTGCTGTCATCGCTGTTACACCAATATAGGTGAAACGGGCTGTGGGGAGGACAATGCGGGATTGAGGGACAGGTGAATGGCTGTTTTTTAAAAGCCAGAAGCTACAGTTTTAATTTTTTTACAGTTTCACTGGAACTCTGCTTTAAGGAAGTGAGTCTTTATCTGTGGGGCCACATATACTGTATGTGCTACTGTGTTTTTTTGCTGAGAGCAAGCTACACAGCATACTCCCACCACAGAGACAGAGCTGTCACAAACAGCTCTGGCTCATACTAATCAGGAACTAGGAGGATCAGTTCCCGATCACCAGATCGCTGTGATAACCTGGGACTGGCTATCACAGTGATCAGACACTGTACGCTCTGCCCCTGTGGTTTTTTTTTCTTTCTTTTCTTGAATGGAGAAAAAAAAAACTGTCTTTTTCTCTTTGCTGGAGGAGAAAAAATATAAACAAAGAAGTGCACAAAAATAAAGATAAAATAGCTAGATCAGGGTTGGTTAGTGATGGGGTCAGTGTATTTTAGGTAGGATTATTAAAAAAAAAAACACTTAATCTAATGTCAGTGTGATTTGGGTAGGATTAAAAAAAACAAAATGTGTGCCATTTGTTTATGGGCCCTACTACATGTATACACAACAAACCATATACACATACACTATATTGCCAAAAGTATTGGGACGCCTGCCTTTACACGCACATGAACTTTAATGGCATCCCAGTCTTAGTCCGTAGGGTTAAATATTGAGTTGGCCCGCCCTTTGCATCTTTAACAGCTTCAACTCTTCTGGGAAGGCTGTTTACAAGGTTTAGTAGTGTGTCTATGGGAATGTTTGACCATTCTTCCAGAAGCATTGTGAGGTCAGGGACTGATGTCAGACGAGAAGGCCTGGCTCTCAGTCTCCAATCTAATTCATCCCAAAGGTGTTCTATCGTGTTGAGTTTAGGACTCTGTGCAGGCCACTCAAGTTCCCCCACCCCAAACTCACTCATCCATGTCTTTATGGATCTTGCTTTGTTCACTGGTGTGCAGTCATGTTGGAACAGGAAGGGGTCATCCCCAAACTGTTCCCACAAAGTTGGGAGCATGAAATGGTCCAAAATGTCTCAGTATGCAGACTGATCCAGACACATCCATCAGATTGCCAGATAGAGAAGAGTGGTTCGTCACTCCTCCCTCCAGAGAACACATCTACACTACTATAGAGTCCAGTGCCGGCATGGCAGTTGGTGATATAAGGCTTGGATGCAGCTGCT